ACATCCTTCCTGTTTACTCCTCGTCCTTTTCCTCAGCTGCACCTGAACGAGTGGGAGGAAGTTAAAAAAAAAAGAGAAGGGGTGGAAGAATGGGGGAAGCTCTCCTTTTTTGTAACACCTCGGCTTCCTCTGCCTCCTCCTCTTCCACTCCTGACCGGGCCTGACCAAGGCACCCAGCTGGATTGCGGTGGGCCAGGGCTGGGGCAGCGGGGCTGTTCACTTGCCATTTCTGTGACAGCCCCGGGGGGCCAAATCTGGGCCCTCCCTGGGCCGCATCCAGCCCACGGACCTTATGTTTGACATGTCTGGCCTAGAGATAAAGGGATAAAGTGAATTACATCTGTTTCAGTGGCTTAAGCCAAGGAAGCCGATTTCACATGTTGTTAAGCAGACGAATGTGGGGTTGTCTGAAATGGACAGGAGAGGCCATGTGAGTCCCAGCACAGGCTATTTTTGACTTCAGGGACACATTGACTTTGGGGCACATGGCTTGGAAACATGTATGGAACATGCAGCTTGGAGAATGGCGCAAGGCTGGAAAGGCCTCCAGTGTGGGGATTAATGCCTCATTTCTCAGTGGTCGTGGTGACACTGGGCTAAAGTCCAGGCCTGGGGTCAGTGGCCACCTGGTTGAAAGGGCTGAAGGCCCCAGGCCTCCTGTCAATCAGGGATGCTTTTCATGGCCTGGATGGGACGGCTCAAGCTTCCATGGGCCTGTGCCTGGTCTCTAGGACCAGCCCACCCCCAGACACCCCCACATCCCTTCCCTGGGCCTTCCTCCACTTAAGAACCCTCAAGATGTTTTAATGACTGTAAGCCGGAGTGTGGGATTGCGCTTGGTGAGTGAAGTGGCCGTGTGACCCTCACATAACTCCTACTTCCCTGGACTCACCAAGATTTCAGTCCCGATTTTGGTCATAAGTTGAGGACTACCTAAAGTTTCAGGGCTTCTTTTTCTCCTCGTCATAGGACGAGAACCAAGGAGGAAAAAATTGAGTCAGTGAACAGCAGAAGAGTTTGCCTCCGAGGGATCTGGGGTGACGGAATCAATGGAGGTTTTGTCTGGGGTGTACTGTGGACCCCTGCCCTGGTCAGAGGGTGGACTGGAAGACCTTCATGGTCCCTTCCAAGGCTAAGATATTGTGATTCTCTACCATTCTCAAAAGGAAACATTATTCTCCTCTTCTTTCTTTTTCCACCAGCAGGAAAACAACTCTGACCAAAGATTCACCTGCAAGTCACCTTTCAAGAGATAGTAGAAATTCAGCCCAAGGCAGCCAGTGCCAGAAAGGATGGAGCCTGGGAAACTCTTGGATCCCCTGTGAGACAGAAGCAGCCACAAAAGAAAACCACACAAGAACCCATGAATGCTCAGAGTGTGGAAAATCCTTTGCTTGCCGGTCCCTCCTTTTGACCCACAGGAAGGTCCATGTGGGAAGGTTTGGAGGGTGCAAAATCCTTCTCTGGAAAAGACATGAAAAATTTCAGAAGCCCCCCCAGACTAAAGCCCTATAAATGTGAGGAATGTGACCTATGCTTTGGTCAAAGGTCACACCTTGTTAGACATCAGAAAATCCACACTGGAGAGAAACCCTATCAGTGTCTGGAATGTGGGAATTTTTTTCGTAGAATAGATAGTCTCAGAAACCACGAGAGAATTCACACAGGGGAGAAGCCTTACACGTGTTGGGAATGTGGGAGGAGCTTTTCTCGGAACGCAGGTCTTTGGTGCCATGGGAAGATTCATGCAGGAATAAAATCTTACAAATGCTTTGAGTGTGGAAAATGTTTCACCCTGAGTTCATCTCTTCGGAGTCATGAGAAAACACACAGAGGGGAGAAAAACGAAAAGTGCCTCGAATGTGGGAAATGTTTTATCTCGAAATCACACCTAGTGCAACATCAAAGACGTCACACCAGAGAGAGACCCTATGAATGCCCAGAATGTGAGAGACGATTTATGTTTCCTTCTGTGCTTCGGAGACACCAGAAGGGACACAAACGGGAGAAACCCTATCAATGTAGGGAGTGTGGGAAAGGTTTTCTTACACAAAGAGAGCTTCAGCTTCATGAGAGAATCCACACAGGGGAAAAACCATACAAATGTAAGGAGTGTGGAAAGAGCTTTACCCTAAAACACCATCTTGGAAGTCATCAGAGGCTTCACACAGGAGAGAAGCCATACAGATGCGTAGAATGTGGGAAATGTTTTGCTCAAAAGGGAACCCTTGGGAGACATCATAAAACCCACACAGGGGAGAAGCCATATCAATGCTTCGAATGTGGAAAATGTTTTGCTGAACAGGGAAACCTTTGGACACATCATAAAACCCACACAGGGGAGAAATTATACAGATGCCTAGAATGTGGAAAATGTTTTGCTCAACAGATAAACCTTTGGAGACATCATAAAACCCACACAGGGGAGAAACCACATCAATGTATCGAATGTGGACAATTTTATTCTACCACATCAGATCTTAGAAGTCATGTAAAAACTCACACAGGGGAAAGAAAT